CGGATTCTCCAATTTCTTGGCTTCAAGATGCATTTAACGGAACTGTGTTGAATGTAACTTTTCCTGGAAGAAAAAATCTTAGCATTATTCATGAAGTTTCCATAAATTCTTTAGACCTTGTGTTTAGTACAATGGATCAATACACTCCACTTGCTTCATCGTCATTACTCACCGCTTCCTTTAGTATTCCATTCGGATTTCAACTTTATGTACAACAGATTTCACAGGAAATTGAATTATTTGATGGTAAAACAAAGTTAGCAACACTTAGTATTCCATATACTACAGCTTCTGGTGACTCTAAGTCTGGAAATCTTACTTCAGGTTTTGCTCCAACTCAATTTAAAGTAATTCCGGGATCTGAAAAAAATTTTGATGATTTCGCTAAAAGATTAACGATGGAGGAAAGTGTCACGCTTAAAATGAAAGGCATAGTAAATGTGATGTCCAACACTTCGATTGGTAATGTAACAATTGAAGGCATAAAATTCAATGTTCAAACAACCCTTCGAGGAATTCAAGGTCTTACTTCATCGCCAACAGTAATCAATTCTTTAAAAGTTACCGGTGGATCTAATGATCATATAGACATTGAATTATCTGTTAGTTTATCAAATCCATCGAACGTTAAAATCATTCTTGACAGTGATGTCAAATTTGATTTGATATGTAATGAAACGAGAATTGGAAATGTGATAATACCAAATCTTGTACTTGATCGTGGCGAAAACAACCTTACAGTTCTTGCTCAATTTTCACCAAACGGTGATGAGGAACAACAAGTTGGTCGGAATTTGTTGAATAATTTCTTGGCAGGGAAGACAAATAATGTATCGATCAAAGGAAATAAAAATTCTACCCCATTAGAACCTTTACGAAAAGCTTTTGAAACTATAGAATTGACAACTGTGATGCCTGGTCTTGTGACAGAAACTCCAATATTAAAGAAGGCATTTTTCTCAATTAGATTCAATTCATTGTTTGATCGAAAAGGGAAGGCTTCAATTGAAATATTTAATCCGTTAGCCACTGTGATAAGATTTTTAAAAATTGATGCGAATGTTACGGTGAAAGACAATTTAATTGGAGTAATTGATCAACAATTTAACGAAACTACTCAAATTGTGGTCCAAAGTGGTCAGAATCTGACAACAGATGATATGGAATTGGAATTGAAAATTAGTGTTAAAGCTATAAAAAGTTTAGTGGATGCTGTACATGGAGACTTGAAAGTTAATGTCACAAGTAATATTTCAATTAGTGTTGGAGACGATAATGGTGGATTTGTTACTGATATCGATTATTGTAAGTTGATTTTTTTTATTTTTATTTATTTTTTTTTTTTTATTTTGGCTTATTTTTTTTTTGTATCTTAATATACATATTTCTTGTTAACTAGCACAAAATGAAGTACCGGCAGAACTTAAAAATACTAAAAACCAATCATTCTTCAATTATTAATTATATGCAAAAAAATAGAATTTTTGAACAATGAAAAATGAATAAAACACGAAAATTCATTTAAATTTGACATTCTTTTTTGTATAGAATTTATCTTCTATTGTTTTTTCTCTTAAATGTATTAAAAAAAAAAAAAGTAATATAGGCTTAATTTAAAAAATAAAGACAAAAAAAAAGCAATAACTTTGTATATATCATAATAACTACATGTTTCAATCCACTAAAATTCACCTGCCAGACTCGACCTTTAAAGAAACTGATTTCACATTGTTAGTTCTCATTTAATAACATTATGCAACCTGTCGTTAAACTTATTTTCAATACGTTATCAAAGTTATAACAACAGTGATGTAATTTTTGCTTTTTCAGAAGTTGGTTTACAGGTTTTCTCTGTCCGTTCTCATATGTTGGTAAGGTAAATACAAGTATTATGACGAATGGAACATATTACAAGAAATCGGGACTTTTACTAAATTTTTCGAAATGCCATCTTTTTTACTTTCAAATTTTGGATAACTTTTTATTAATAATAATTTTCTGCGTCAAAACGTATGACGAAGAAACCTATTAATAAAAGAATGTAAAAGATGGCATTTTTAACAACTTTACTTGGTGGCAAAGTTAGATTTACTTAGTGAAAAAATCTCGTTTTAAGCGTACGTAAAACGATTTTTAACTAAAAATTGATAAAACTAATATACCGTATTTTCGCGGAATAACGCGTTATTTTGAGTATATGCGCGTTATTTTGAGTACGCGCATGGGCGTTATTTTGAGACAAATGTAAAATTTTAAGCATCTTGTATAGAACAAAAAATGTTCCGGAGCCAGGTTGATACTAAGTGAACCTAGTTCCGGAGCATTTGTCGTAAATAAGCACCCCTTACTATAAGATGCGCGGACGCTCATGGGCATTATTTTGAAGCTATATATGTTATTTTTAGGGGACGCAATTTTCGAAATCCGTGAAAATACGGTATATTATCTATGGCTACATTTTATCCCCGAGTAATTTAAAATATAAACATCACTTTGGATTGTTATACAAATATAGTGAAGATGATGTGAAAATATTGGGAACTGCGTTCCATATTAAATTATTATAAAAAATCGATTTATTTCGCCTTTAATTTCTTCCGCAATATTTAACATTTTTAGATTCTATAAAAGCAAGATGTTAATGAAAATGTCTTCATCAGGAGATTAAATAAAGGTAGGTATATGCGATATTCTTCGGCAACTAATACTGTATAATTCCTCACCACCTTCGGCGATCTACGACTGGAATTAATTGAATAATTGCAGTAATAGTCTTGACTCGAGTTAACTCGAGTCAAGACTACGTTTTGTAAGCTACGAGTTAACTCGAGTCAAGACTACGTTTTTTAAGCTAAGAGTTAACTCGAGTCCAGTCTCTACTTCCATCTCTCAAGTCATCTTGAATATCAATGATATCATTTTTAGTTGGAATTTGGTTTGCATTTAATTGTGCCTATAAAAAGTAAATACTTAATAAAATAATAATAAAACTCAAAGTATAAAATACAAATAAATGTATACCAGAAAGATAGCACAATGTTTTTTAATGGCTTTTTCAGAGTATCGAATATCTTTACCATGTGGATTTAAAACGAGTGCATCTATTTGCGCACTTTCGTATAATTAAAGTAAAAAATTTTTATCGAATTCGGTCAGAAAACCTTCAAAGTTTTAAAAATTCAACAGTACTTAATTACCAAGGCTAAACAAAGATGATTTTTCATTTTGCATTAAATGACATTCGAAATTTCGATCGGATTTTTTTTTTTTTTTTTTGTTAATCTAGGGGAGCTGACACTTATTATGCAAATATAACCCCCTCCAGAGTCAGCCATTTGACAATTACAAATCAAAGTGTATACTTATATTATTTGTTATTTTAAAGATTGCAATTGTCAAACGATTGATTATTTTAGAACTTGTGATTGTGTCAGCTCCCTAAATGAATTTTCATATAGAAAGTCTTTAATTTCTAAAGCTTTCTTGAAAAAGCATTTTACTTGTTCAGATGATATCAAGTTCATTAGCTTTAAATCAGTTAAATCATAAGGCATTATAAAACTATATTGAATTTAAACCTATCGGTTACTTGCCAAATATAGTTGACCCTCATTAATATCAACCTGCGTTAATATCAACCTAAGTCACAAAACAAATTTTTATAAATGTTTATATATCAACTTTAATATAAACTCTCATTAATATCACTATCAACATGAATATAAAGATGATCCAAATAGGTTGTACTAACGAGGGTCAACTGTATAAGAATGACTTGTAACTGTAATGGTAATCTGTTATCCATTTTAAAATTTGAAAATTAGTGCGTATTAAACTTTCAAAACCTTCATTCCTTTCAGAAATACGTAATACAAATTCAATTGCCAAAATGGAAATACTAATAAAATGATTTATCTTTATGTTAGAGATTTCTATCAGTATGAAACTTGAAAAGACATTCCTAGAATAGACCCAGAATTTATAAAACTCATTGTACGTAATTTGAGAAAATTATTTGTGCATGGTGTCCAGTAAATTTGTAAACTTAAACTGCTAAATAATCATATAGATCCCATTGTTGTTGATCAAACAAAAACGATCTACATTATGGAAGAAATTTTATTAGTACAACTGTCAAGATTTTGTGTGAAAAATTCTTGATAAAACATATATTTTCTTCCCTA